TTCGTACGCGTATATCCAGGATTCGTCACCTAATACGATGTTGTATACAGCATTTGAGGATCGTGCGTGGAATCTTTCGAGAGTTCTGACGCACCAAGTAACGCGAGCCGCTTTTTGCTCTTCACAGAGCGAATGCGGTATCCATCGGGAAAACAACTTTTTTACACCTAATTGTTCATGCAAGATTATTTGTATTTGACTCATGCCAATGTCTAAAGTTGCCTGAATTTCGCGGTATGTCACATGTCGATCTTCCTCAATCAGCTTATGCACAGCATCAACGTTTTCTTGGATGACTGCAGTTTTTGGACGACCTTGACGGGGATCATCACTGAGCTTAACACGTCCACGTTGAAATTCAGCAAACCAGCGATAAATTGTGGTTTTGGATGGGGATTCATCACCAAATGCAGAAATCATCCGGTCAACACACTGTTTTTGTGTTAAACCACTTCGAAAGTCATAATAAATCATCGCTCTTGAATTTTCTCGAGTCAATTCCATTTTCTCAACGACTAAACAAGTTTGACAAAACCTTGTGACAAGACCGAGAATCTTTATTTAAATAAATAAATGGTATTCGATTTTTAAAACCAAGGAGTTTTCAATTAAAAAGATTTTAATATGACAGGAACAGTGGAAATATTCTATTCCCGATACTTTTAGTGCAGCCCTCGTACTTGTTTTATTTTTGATTTTTTATTAAACTTTGCCTAGTAAAATACTATGCATTAACACTTTTTGATTAGTGACCTGATTAGTTTATTTGTATTTAAAATATTATGCATTTTATTCTGGTTTTGTAATTTGTATAAATCCAATTTCCGTCATCTTGTATGTCGTTAGTTAAAGAACATTTACCAAGGTAATCCTTAGTGAAAATTAATCTTTATATATAAAAATTACGTGTCACGTTGTTTGTCCGCGATGAACTCCTAAACTACTGAACTGATTTCAATGAAATTTTGCACACTGTGTGCAGTTTGGTCCAGCTTGAGAGATAGGATAGTTTTTATCCCGATAACTGGCACTCAATTTTTTTATTGCTAATTTCAGGAGTTTTTTTTTAGGAAAGCAAATGGTCGTCGGAAAGGGCGGAACAACACTTTTCTGGTCAGCTAAAGTAAAGTAAAGTTGCAGCCTATTTACAGGCCTCCTATCATTTCTGAGAGGGTTTTAGGGCAAGGAAATGTCCGCCGCGCTGCCCCAATGCGTGTTGGCAAACTTCTCATGTCTTTGAAATGTTTTTTTTCTTATTTCTCAGACATGCAGGTTTCCTCACGATGTTTTCCTTCACCGCCGAGCACGTAGTAAATCAGCACTTAAAATTGCAATTAACAATTTCATTGGTGCCGGTGGGGTCAGCTAGTAAACTTATAAAAAAAGATTCCTCACTCACCCACGCATGTTAAAATCGGTAAATGTACGTAATACAACTGCTAGCTCACACGTGTATTGTCGTGTCCTGACGTCGTGTACAAAATTATTTTGCAAAATTGCTTAACCCGCACCCCACTCTCAAATTCACAAATAATAAGAAAATTATTATCACGCCAGATACCATAGCCCATTCAATGAAGGAAAAATAGAGGAAATAACTCGTGTAAAAGAGATTTTTGGCATAATTGTAGGGAATGGTGTGTTAAACAACATACTCAAAGTACTGATGGATGGGGGTGAAGCTAACGGGTAGGGAGGGGTGTAAAGGTCCCTTTTTTAAGTTTTTCTTAAATAACTCGTAAACGGTGGCTCATAGCAAAAAATTTTCTGTTACTCAAGTAATCTACATAAAATTCTCTACAAAAAAGTATTATACACTTTTTTTGCTGGGATCAATATTTAATGAGATATGAAGAAAAGAAGATGGACAATAAAATAAAAAATAAAATAAAAAAATCTAATTATCTTCTAAATCTAAAATATCATCATCAAAATCATCGTCGACGGTGTTTTCGATGGGGGCTCCATTAGTACATGAGCCGGAGCATACAAGGCAGACACTAGAGCAGGCAATTCCTGCATTCCGGCAACCGCATCGCACCCCACACCCAGTCCTGCATCGGCAAAATATGGTGTTGAGAATGAACTCAGGTGTCACTAGATCGTTGGTTGTCATCGGCTTTAGGATACCATCGTCCCTCTGACCCAACCCCATTGAGTAGGTGGGAGGGGTTGCCGAGCCCTAGTTGTATATGTAAAAGAAGTAATAAGATCAACGTAAGTATTTAGCTGAAATATATATTTATATTACAGTATTTGACAACTATTGTGATTAATGATACCTGTAAGTACACTCTCAACGAGTGCTGCTTCGAAGCTCCTCTGGTGGGAGGACAAGTGGCCAGATCTGATTTCGGCTTCATCGATGCTCTCAAAAAAGCTGAGTAGCGGTATTTATTGAGATTTTGTACCTGGACAGGCGCTTGGTAAATTGCCAGAAACAGTTTCATGCCAGAGTGTACAATACTCTCAGGTGATGTTGAAATCCCACTGAAAATGTCTGAGATGTTCTGTGTCACGTCTGGTTTAGCCGTGAACAGCTTAGCAATTCCCACTTTGATCGTGCCATGGATTGCGGAGGTAGTGTCGCATCCGGAAAAGCTGTGAAGAAGGAGAATTGTCTTGCCAAATGGAAGCTGTTGAAGTTGTCGCACTGAAAACAATTTGGTCTCCACCTTTCCACGGCCTGGTTTCATAAAGAACAGGTTGATATTTGGTGGAGCCAATCCCATGAGGAGTACTATCAAATCAACATCCTCCCCAACTATTACAACAGTTGGATGAACGGCAGCCTTATCTAACTCGCACCTGACAATAGTACCATCAGCATCTCCTGTTGCAACAGTTATTTCAATCCCTGCTGCTGTCATTTTCTCGGTGAGGAACAGAATCAGCCTCGTTTTATTCTTCTCATTAGCGAGGAAATGCTCCTGTTGAACAGTGATGATCGTATTTTCGTTACAAATAATATCAACCGACGTTTTAGTCAGACCTCGTCGCTTCTGCTCTGATCGTTTTTTGCTGTTGACATCACTGTAACCATCAAAAACCACCATACAATTTGGACCGTAATGTTTCTGTATGTAAGTAATGTACTGATGGCAAATCGAAGAAACGTTGGAGGACGGTTTCCATTTCATACGGTGTAGTAGGAAACCACTATCTACCACATTGTTGGTTTGGTTTAGATCGAGAGCTGCGTTGTTCTCTACTGGCAAAACATCGTAGAGGGATGACTTCTTCCCTTTTCGCGTTACACCCTCGTGGAACAGAGCCATGGGGAATGGCGTTAGTTCATAAGTCAAAAGGTCTCCAACATCTTCGTCGTTCTTTTTTGCTATTAGTATTTGTTCTTTGGAAAATCGTTAAAGGGTTAATAGTAACTGTCTTAACATTGACTTTAATGCTACTGATCATACTGGCTAGTGACAAAACCACATTCTTCTTAGACTGCTTCATGTCACTGAATTTGCTGCCAATGAAATTTTGCATCGTTTTGGTGCCAATAAATAAATAAAAATAATAAATAATTATCGAATTCAACTTTGGAAATTGGGGATGTTCACTGAACCATTCCCGAACGTTAAAACGCGAGAATTGATCATAATTCACTTTTCTTTTTTAATATCTCGTTAAATATTGATCACAGCGAATAAGTGTATAGAACCTTTTTTGTAGAGAATTTTATGTAGATTACTCGAATAACAGAAATTATTTTGCTATGAGCCACCTTTTACGAGTTATTTAAAAAAACTTAAAAAAAGGGACCTTTACATCCCCCCCTACCCGTTAGCTTCACCCCCATCCATCAGTACTCTGAGTATGTTGTTTAAGATACCATTCCCTACAACTATGCCAAAAATCGATTTTACACGAGTTATTTCCCCTATTTGACAGTTTTTAGTCTTCGTTGAGTGGGCTACCAAACACGATTGCAAAGTTTCTCGCCAATCAACTTTACTCAATACTTGTAAAATTAATAATATTTCAAGTATCTTTATACCAACAAAGAAAGAAAAACGGAGCACGGCATTTCAACTGATGCAAAAACCAAGCCAAACCCACGTTGACTTTATTTATACTAGGAGATGATGACAGAAAATATTCTCCCATTTTCTCCTGCATGCCTTTTTAAGAATTGATAACTAACCCTAAAATATAAAAGATTTCGTTTTAACGCTTGCACGTCGGAAATTATATTTACGGAATTTATATTACAAAGGCATGCAATATAATGTCATGGAAAAATACTAAAATTCTTTACACAAAGAGAAGCCGTTTTCTTTATGAAGTGCAAGCGCGCAAGGGCGCAAGGGCTCGTAACCCCTCTATCTTTCATATTTTAGGGTTAGTTATCAATTCTTAAAAAGGCATGCAGGAGAAAATGGGAGAATATTTTCTATCACCATCTCCTAGTCTAATTGCAAGAAGACGCACTCTTTACAACCATTAACATGGTTTAGGTGCATATGTGTACAGAATTTAAGGGGATTATTACGAAATAAAGATGAAAGATGTGTGCATGAATCCCGTGTCAAAAAGTTGAGCATGGTTTTGGCTTAACTTGAAGCCCTTTTGCCTTTGTTGGGCTGAACAAATACAAAGTTTAGTAAGGTATAATATATAAAATATAACGGAAGACTGTTTCACGTGTGCGTGCAATTCGAATACCAAAATTCGAGCACATCAAAAATGTAACTACGTCTTTAATGTGTAGTATCCGCGTAAATGTAAGAAATCATTAAATCCGTACAAATTAGTTTTATTCGCTGAAGTATAAAAATTTAAATCTTTATATATAAAAATTACGTACCACGTTGTTTGTTCACGATGAACTAGGATAGTTTTACTAGAAGGATATTTTTTATACTGATAAGTGACACTCAATATATTTTTATTAAGAATTTAAGGATTTTTTATATGAAGAGTCGTCGAAAAGGGCAGAACAACGTCTGCTTGGCCAGCTAGTATTGATATAAATTAATTATGTGTGTATGTAGGTGAGTTACAACGCGGCCGGTGTCCTTGCTCATATGGCGTCCGACGGTCCCGAAGCTTGGACCGTTGAAGAGCCCGACCGCGAGGAAGTACTGGAGCGCGTCGCCGCAGCAGTGCAGCGCTGGGACCTGCTCGCCGAAAGGAACATCAATTACCGCTCGTTCGAACCGATCCTCAGCTTGTTGCACGCCCACCATACGCCGCAATGCCAGCACTGGGCGGTCTGGGCACTTGCTAACCTCACCACTGTTTATCGTAAGTAGACCATTTTGAAAATAGTTATGCCAGGGTTTCCCAATAATAGCGTCGCGGTGCCAGTGTACGCCGTAGAGAGTAAAGAGTGTTTCCTCTTTACCATTCTCCGAGAACTAAACTTTATTCGCGGGTGCAAAATAAACCGGAGTTTAAAGCCTCGGTCACACATAGCGAATACTCGCTGCGATTAGGCACTTGCAGCGAGAATTCGCTATGTGTGACAGGCTATTCGCTGCGGTTAGATTCATTCGCCGCGAGTTAATTTCGCTGCGAATTGAATTGAACATGTTCAATTTTACTCTCTGGGAATGAACACTCGCTACGCCAATTCGCTGTGTGTGACGGGGTACTCCCTGTGAGTAGCCATTCCGCTCCACTAGACATATAAAAACATTGGGTAGGTAAGCGACGATGGGTTATATTATTCATATAATATCGAGGTAGAATCAACGTTGAAAAATAAAATAAAATTTTCTCTTTAAAACATAGTTTTAAATCGAGAAGAGAAGCACAACCAAGATTTTCATCGTCGGAGTCGTCATCGGAACTTGTGTCATCATCTCCAACTTGAATTATTAATTCGTTTTCAACGAAATTGTCGAAGTGAACACCGCGCATACAGTCAGACAAAACTTATTCTTTCACGTGTCGAACAACATTCGCCCAGTTTTCAGCAGTCACCTGACCACAAGCTCTTTCCAACAAACGGAGCATTTTGTTTGCGGTGAAGGGAGGAGATGTGTTGTTGCGTGCTGCATGTCCTGTAAACGAATTAAGTGATAAATAAAGTAATGTTACGAGGGTGGATTGAAAAGTACTCGGCCTAACACAGATCCATTCAATTCTAAAAATCAAATCTACCCACATTATTTAGTTCAGTTGAGACTAGTTCATTGTGTGAAGTTCGAAACGTGTGCGATAATTAGTTGTGATTTTATAAATTTATTAACAAAGTAATCGGACATAATTTCCGCGAATGGAGCAAATCGAGCAGCGTGCCGTCATTAAGTACCTCCATAAGAAGGGGCTATCATCAAAAGCCATCCATGATGACATGGTCAGTACATTAGGCGATTGTGCTCTGTCATATTCATCCGTCAAAAAATGGATAGCAGAATTTAAGCGTGGTAGAGAGAGTGTGAAAGATGAACCCCGCTCTGGAAGGCCTTCGACGTCAACTACTGACGAAAATATTAAAAAAGTACTTGATTTAATAATGGGAGACCGCAGATTAAAAATTAGAGAGATAGCCGAGATTATAGGCATCTCTTATGAACGAACTCAAAACATCATTGTCAACGAGTTGGGTTTCCACAAGGTGTCTGCGAGGTGGGTTCCGCGACTGCTTTCAGTTGAACAAAAAAGGACGCGATTGACTATTTCACGCGACTGTTTGGAGTTATTTGAAGCCGATGCAGATGATTTTTTGAATCGTTTTGTTACTATGGACGAAACATGGGTTCATTACTGTACACCGGAAACAAAACAACAATCAAATCAGTGGAGAAGACCTGGTTCACCACCGCCTAAAAAGGCTAAGTCGATTTTGTCGGCAAATAAGGTGATGGCTTCAGTATTCTGGGACTCGAAAGGTGTGATTATGATTGATTATCTTGAAAGGGGTCAGAATATAAACTCTGATTACTACTGCACCTTACTACGTCGTTTACGAGAGGAAATAAAAGAAAAACGTCGAGGAATGCTCAGAAGAAAAGTCCTGTTTCATCAAGATAACGCCCGTGTTCACACGTCAGTACAGTCAATGGATGAAATTCACAACTGTGGCTTTGAACTGTTACCGCATCCGCCGTATTCACCTGATCTGGCACCATCATACTTCTTTCTGTTCCCTAACCTAAAAAAGCACTTGGGAGGTCAAAGATTTTCGACAAACGACGAGGTCAAAGCAGCTGTAGACGCATATTTTGACTCTAAGGAAGAATCATTTTTTTTCAACGGTCTAAATGCTTGGAAGGGGAGGTGGCAAAAGTGTATTGAACTTGATGGTGATTATGTAGAAAAATAAAAATATAACTGATTTAGTATTTGTTTATTTTCTTGGTTAGGCCGAGTACTTTTCAATCCACCCTCGTATTTAATGCAATATATGTTATAGTATTTATGAAAAAAAAAAATTATTTAATGCAAATATTTTAGAATATTTATCAAGAAAAAAAAAAGAAATATTTTCGCATCTTCACTGACCTTTGATTCGTGCCCATATCAGTTCTATAACATTATATTGACAGTGACAGGGTGGCAATCTGATAGCTGTGTGACCACGTTGCTTTGCTGCTTCGTCCAGAGTTATGTTGTAAAGTAGTGCATTGCAATCGTGAAGGCAACCGCCGCATTACGTTTTGGTTATCAAAGTCGCTTATTTATCGCTTGGACCGCTCGGTGGTGCAGTGACTTAACATCCGACTGCGACTCACCAGGGCCACGAATTCATATGTATCTCGCACAGAACAAGTGGTCGTATTGCCTACAAATAATTGTTCCAGTCTGGGTGTTTGTCCTTGTGCAATAAATGTACATAAAATAATCTATGTTACCGGGGATAAATATCGACGAAGAGATATTCTGACCCTCACATATAATAGAATCATTTTCATACAATACTTATAGATTACAATAATACTTATGAAAGTCATTATACTCTATAAAAGTCAGTAAAAAATCTCTTCCCTGGGAAGAACCAGCAAGAAACCCAGCGGGATTTAAATATATGTATCTATATGTTGGGGACAGTGCCCTTTATACCTTGTGATAGGGACTAATGAGAATAAATTAAACTTTGGACTGTACTGAATTGGTGACCGACAATGAAACCGTGTGATTAGTCACGACCGCTGCCTTGGTCTTGCCGTCCCGCAACCTCATAGTATGTAAACCTCATTCTCAGGGGTTATTATAAATCATGTACTCTTTAGTAGTAGTACAATTTATGCTTAATAAAAAAATTACATGTTTTGATAGATAAAGTCTGCATATTTTCTGTGAGTTTGTTGGATGAAGGAATTACTGACTCTTTGGAGTCGAGTAACATTCACTTTCCGTAGTAATATTAATAATATTAGGCGCATCCATGTTACTGCAATCGCCAATTCACTTACCAAGTGGGGAGATTACAGCAAATAACTAAAACGTTGAACTACTTTGTATTGTTGATGAAATGACTTGATAATAATACCAAATTTAACACTGTTTAACCGTTTATGTGAACGGACCCTTATTCTGGTCTTATATTTCCAGCTGACAAATACTGCGCCTTGGTCGAAGCCGAGGGCGGGCTGATACTTCTCCACGAACTCCTTAAGCATCCAGAACCTTACGACGTTATAAAGGAATTGGCTTGCGTTGTCATCAATAACTGTTCGAAATTCGCCGCTCTGGAGACCGGCCTCGCTCCAGACACGATTTATTTGGACAATTAACTAATGGAGTACTTTGGGGAGATAGATCCCGAGCTGATGGAAGAATAGCACAGGATCTTCATGCGGTTGCTACAGGTTTGATTAGTATGTGTCGTGGCGTCAACCATCTTTGTCAATGTTTTGGCGGTGGTCGATTTATCATACACATCGAGCGGCTACTAGAAGTTTCCAGAGTATGTGCATTGTACATAGATGCCGCTGTAAGGATCTCGCACCTGATATTGACGATTTTAGAAGATGTCGGCACTGTTTCTATACGCGATACGATGTGTTTCCAATCAGAACTAGTTAGGAGTGCGATCCTTAACGAAACGTCAGTTTTTAAAATTTCTGGATCTTTCCGCCGAGGTATCCAACCTGAAGCAACATCTCCACAGAGTCAGTGTAGTGAGTATTACTAAAGACAATTTCGTGTCAGCTCATAGTAGGGCGTTATTTAAGTACAATTTCTTAGAACCATACGGCGTGTGCCAATTTTCGATGTTCCCCAAACCTTTGCGTCGCCCGATTGGCGGCTATATCGACGATTTAATCGAGCTTACTAAAAACGTCACATTTATCGTATCGGACTTTGGTGTTTTACCGAAAACCTACAAAAAAATGATTAGTGTTTCTATAAGTTTTACATTTTGTAACCTAGACTCCCAAGAAGTTGTTGTGTTTTAAATATTTTCCTATCGAAAGAAATCTTACCCTAACCTAACCTAAAAATAGATTTAACGTACCATAGATAATAATAACGGTTCCAAATGTAAGGCTATTTGTAAACCATTAAGCTTCTTTAAAATCACAATTTTACGATCTGTCTTAAGTCTATCTATTAATGTTTAGAATTTATATAAATCAAAGTGAATGTGTACTAAATATTTCTCTTCAGTTATTTGTGTGTTTTAGTTAGATTAATTTTCAAATTGCAATATTGTTTAACGAGTATCCCGCAAAGCGGACAACATTGTTAGGGCTTAAGCACTCTAAGCTTTCTATCCATGAAACAGCGTTTAAAACCTGCTTGTCTTAGTATTATTAAATTTTATGATGTTTTTAATGGTGTGAGTTGGAAAAACAGAATATCATTACATTTACTGCAATCATAATTTTATATGCTATTACACGTCTGTAAATATATGCCTAGTCTTGATGATACTGTTTCTCTTAGTCGCTAGTACCTTCAATCATACAGATATTCCATACTTAAAAATCAAGTTCATGGCCAATCCACAACGCGTCACCAACTTCTTTCAAACATGTGTTAAAATTTTGCGATAAAAGGCTTTGTGTGCAATCTGGACAAAATTTAATTTCCCATACCATCAACTTTTATCGTTGCTGATCTGATGACTGTCCTATTTATAATAAATAATTGCTGTTCACTAACCTATCGAATAGTGTAAGTGTATTGCGTTGTATAGTATTTATTTTGTTTATATTTTGTAATTAATTCAGATATAATTGGGGTAGTCGATACCTTCATTAATAAATTATAATGACTATATCATAAAATTAGAATTTGTTACGTAGTGTCTTGAAACTTTGTCGGTTTTCTGTTTTTAGTTCAATTAGATTTGTAGTATTTAAAAATATACAAATAAGATAATTATTTACTGTAAAAACTATAATTTCATTACACTGTATTTTATAGTTAGTTATATTTCTATAGTAACTATAATTATTTATAGTTACTATAGAAATGTTTGTTTAAACGGTCTTTTAAAAGTATTCCACTTTGACTCACTTTCACTCTCTTAGGTACTAGACAAAAAGTACCCGTTAAAAAAGTGAAATATTATGATGGAGTAAAACGACGAGAACTATTATTTGTTTAGTGAAACATTAAAAGGACTATTCAACATAGGATGCTAACACAAGCTTTTTTACATAGTAGAACCATGCTGCAGCTATATTATGGTTGTAGCACGAATGAATGGGCTCGACCGGGGTAGGACCACACTCACATACTATACCAGCGTAAAACAGTAGGTCAATGCTGCTGTGTTTCGTATGGTGAGTGTAGTGTGTATGTAACTGGAGACCCTTTTTACTGGAGACGAGGCATTCCATTTTAGTCCTCAAGGGTCGCAATGCATATTCATTTTGATGGATGGATGAAGATATCTATGGACCATAACATCCTCTTACCATCAGGTCAAGGGTGACAAACGAACACACTGTCCACAGTGTGTTCGTTTGTCTTATAAAAAGAAACTATGTTTTTATGGGCGCCCTGCTGGTACCCAGACATTTGGTTATCAAAATAACCGATCGTTCTTTCAAGCGATGTTGGTATATATATATACGGTATCGACGACTGTATTTACATAACTCGATACTGCGATTTGTCATCAAAAATTCAGGACGGTACGTACTTACGCGTTACGAAATGAATTGCCAACAAAACGTTACAGATAATGGCACGATCTTCGCACTCGTCGATTACTAGAGGCTCTTCGGTGAAGTATAATGGCGTGGGGCGAGGACCGGAAACATTATTTTACGTGATTGGTCCATTGGATATTCAGGTGCCATTCGCTTTCAGTGCGTTGGCTGGTAAATGTGTACGTGGTGCATGACTGTACCATTGTCGCTTCGTGCACTCACTTGTGCCGTTATCTGTACAGTAATTCGCTACGTGCGGATCCACCATTCATTAAGTAATAATAATATCTATTTTTACCGTATATGCACAATTTTATCCAAAACAAATGTTTACAATTTCATAAGTGTATTCTCATACGCGATTGTATCACGCGTATAATTATTATCTCGATGTATTTTAAAATGTAAATCGATGTGTAGAATGCCCTTTATAGTAATTCACGGGCGCAGATACTGTGGATTCCTAAAGGCGTAATTTTAGACTAAGTCTAGATTAAGCCTAGCCTAATTTATAAGTAAAATTATCGAGATGTCTCAGGTGTTTATTACACAGTAAATATATGTAAAAGTTATTTATGTCTCTTGAAAATTTAAACCGGAATGCCGTTGCAAAATTCGTCGGATTTGATTCGATAATAGAAAAATTGACTTTATTTGTGTATTTATAAATACTAAATAGCGATTGTGATTAAAATGTGTGTTAAACGTGTCGTACGTACGTAACACACATTTTTCAATATTATATTTAGGTGTTTTTGTTAAAACTAAATTCAACTTATTTATAATAGATGTTGATATATCCTGATTCTAGAAGTCTTAACTCTTTAAATACTTATATGTGGTTTTAGAATTAATATGTTATCAATAAATGTATAACACACTACGGCTGTTTGATTTCACGTATCTATTTATTATATTTATTTATTTAAAATTGATGTACACACTATAAAACGTTTGTACAATAACACTAGAGTTACTCTGGTAGGCCTGCAAGTTTATTTTGATATTTAAACTCTTTTAAAATTAAAAATCTTTTTATCGACTGCCTCAGAAAGTGGGTAATATTTTTCGATCGTTTGTATGTATGCAGTATGTCTTATCTATTTGGCACTCTGTAGCCCAAACCGCTGGATGGATTTTGGCTCGTTAAATTCGTGTTAGTTGTGGAAGTGACATAAGCTGTAAAATTAGAATTTTCCTCTTTTTTTAGTAAACTACGCAGACGGGATCTTTTTAACAACTGTTTTATCCATTGGTCTTTTATAAAAGTGAAAACCGATTAAGAATTATTTAAGGACAATCCATACTAATATTATAAATGCGAAAGTGTGTTTGTTTGTTTGTCCTTCTTTCACGTCGCAGCAGAGCGTCGGCATGGCATGATTTTTTCTATGGGGATAGTTCGGTGGCTGTAGAGTGACATAGGTTACTTTTTCCGCGGAAAAACATCTCATTCCCGTGGGAAAATAGAATATGTTGCAAAAGTTTGTCCTTCTTTCACGTCGCAACAGAGCGTCGGCATGGCATGAATTTTGGTTGGTATGGGGATAGTTCGGTGGCTGTAGAGTGACATAGGTTACTTTTTCCGCGGAAAAACATCTCATTCCCGTGGGAAAATCGAATATGTTGCAAAATTAAATTCAGCTAGGTGGCGCCACCGTGATTATACAAGAGGGACGACGGTACGATGGACGAACACAGAAGGTCAGAATATCTGGATTATTATGTCTTTTTACCAAAATTAAGATAAAAAATGTATGGATCTGTATTTTTCCACGCAGGACCGGGAAGAGAGCGATAAAAAACATAAAATTCACCAGCTGATTTTCTTCAAACGTTTTGGTGCATTGTAATTTACAGAATAGGCGATAACCTCCCAGACGATATTAAGTAATCCGTTGATGCTCTGCCTACCCCGCAAGGGTTACAGGCGTGATTATATGTATGGATCAGAAATACTATCACCACCTGTCACGCTTTCACCCTTACTATTACTTAACTGTGGTAGAAACAGTTCTTAGTAAGCCTTATTAATAATTATTGAACAGAAATGAATACAGTTCTTATACATATTCTTATATGTGGTTATGAATGAATCGGTATTACAATAAGAAAAATTGTGCAAAATTATAGGAAAAATATTTTTTGAGAGTCCTTATTAACTAACGTATACATAGTTTAAATTGATTCCGCTAGATGTCGTCACTAGGTTTTTAAAACGCGGTAACGAAATGTTTCCTGACGTGTACTTAACTCCCGCCGTTGAGCCGCGCGTCAACGTAGAGTGCATACGGTACCTATACGTTTAAATTGTTTCTATTTCGTAGCTTATACGACTACCTGCTTTCAATTTCGGTTATTTGTTGTTTGCTTTGTGATTTGGTTAAGGTTGAATGGATTTATATTGGCTTTCATTTTCGGATTTGTGTATTTTCTTGGATCGGTTTTGTTGATTTGGTTGGTATTCCTTTCCTTTATACATATTTAGACTTTGGCTTTGATTTTGTATTTTGTTTATTTAAAATCTTGAATTGGTTTTCGTTGTTTTAGGTTGTTTAACAATATTTTAAAGGAATATTAATATTAATACTATCTATAATAGTGTATACGGTACCTATACACTTACTTCTTTTTTCGTTGGTTATATTTATATTGACTACTGCTTTCGATTTCGGTTTTCTGCAATTTGTTTTGTGATTTGGTCTAAGTTGATTCGATTTTTTTTGGCTATCGTTTTCGGATTCGTGTTGTGCCTTGAATTGGTTTTGTTGTTTTGATTTTAAAAAATATTTAAAAGGAATATTTATTCCTTTTAGATATTTTGGATTTGCTTTTAAACAAAATATTTAAAAGGAAATTTAAAGGTTTAATTTAAAGGTTTATTTAAAGGTATTTTAACGTTTTTTTTTTATAAATAGGTTTTTTGTTACTTCATAATGCCTCGCAAACGTAAGTCCAGCCTTTCAAGAGTATCTTCTCAAAGACTGCTTTAAGAGGTTCCGAAACACCTGCTCAAAGTCAGCAAAGGCGTCTTGAACAGGCAGAGCATCAAGCTACTTTAAGAGCTACTGAAACACCTAATCAAAGTCAGCAAAGGCGTCTTGAACAGGCAGAGCGTCAAGCTACTTTAAGAGCTACTGAAACACCTGCTCAAAGTCAGCAAAGGCTATTCGAACAAGCGGAACGTCAGGCCACCTTAAGAGCCGCGGAAACACCTGATGAAACTCAACACAGACTCATTGAGCAAGCTGAACGTCAATCTACTATAAGGGCCTCTGAAACAATTTGTCGGTTTTTAATGACGCAGCATTCAATTATGATCCGTTGATTGATTATAAAAATCACAGGTTAGTTGTTATCGGACTGATGGACAAGGCGTGTCGATTTTGCAGCGCTTTAAAATGGAAAGATGAGACCGCAGACATGTGCTGTTCCAATGGCAAAGTGTCTCTTCCGTTACTTGGGGAACCAGAAGAACCTTTGAAAACTCTCTTTTTATATGATGCTAATGAGTCACGGCGCTTTTTAAACAGGATCCGGAAATATAACTTATGCTTTTAAATGACGTCCTTCGGAGTTGACCGGGAAATAATAATGCCGGGATTTTCGCCTACATTTACGGTGCAAGGGCTAATTTATCATAGAATAGGTTAATTTTTTCCAGCTGAAAACGAACAGCATAAATTTTTACAAGTATATTTTATGGGTGACGAAGAAATTGAGGTAGACCATCGCTGCCAATTTATCCAGGGAGTTGAGAGAGACACAGTGTTCAAAATTCAAAGATTCTTGCATGAACGTAACATTTTAGTCAAAACATTTAAAACTGCTTTAGAAAACCTACCTGAAGAGGATTATAAAGTCGTCATTCACGCAGATCGGACCCCTCGAGGAGAGCATGAAAGGCGCTACAATGCACCTTTGATAAACGAAATAGCAGCCGTAATTAGTGGTGATCAATTTTCTTCACGAGACATTGTCTTGCGAGCACGTGATGTTACGTTGCAACGGGTAGCCGATACACACAAGTTTTATGACGCTCTGCAATACCCATTGATTTATTGCAAAGGACAAGAGGGTTACCATTTTCAAATTCCACTCATTAACCTGGTCACAAAGGAGCCTACTCCGAACAAAAAAGTATCATGTATGGATTTTTATGCGTATCATATGATGTTGCGAGAAAATGATTTTAACCTCTTAGCCCGGTGTAGACAATTATTTCATCAATTTTTGGTAGACATGTATGTGAAGGTAGAAAGTGAACGTCTCCGTTATATATCTTTAAATCAAAAAAAGCTGCGCGTTGAGAATTATATACATTTACAAGATGCAGTTTCTAGCGAATCAATGTAAACCCCAGAGATTTAGGTAAAATGGTAATTCTGCCCTCATCATGCGTTAACAGTCCCCGCTACCTACATGAGTACACACAAGACGCATTCGCCTATGTACGAACTTACGGAAGACCTGATCTTTTTGTTACTTTTACTTGCAATCCCACATGGAAACAAATAACCGAGGAGCTAATGCCGGGTCAAAGAAGTACTGACAGACACGATTTAGTTGCTAGAGTATTTAGATTAAAAGTACAAAAATTAATGTATGTAATTAACAAAGGGAAAATTTTCGGAGAGGTGCAGAGTGCTTCATGTATTCAATTGAATGGCAAAAAAGAGAATTACCGCATGCCCACATTCTAATATGGCTTAAAGAGAAGTTGCGGCCCAGCCAAATAGACGACATAATAAGCGCCGAGATTCCGGATCCTGAGCAAGAAAGATAAAGAATTGTATGATACCATCGTCCGAAATATGATTCACGGTCCATGTGGAGCACGAAATTCAATATCGCTATGTATGAAAGAAGGAAAATGTACAAAGAAATTCCCTAAACAACTATTAAAAGAAACAGTGCACAATGACAATGGCTACCCTTTATACAGACGCAGAGCTCCCAAAGATGGTGGCAGGAAAGTTACAATCAAATCTCGCTCTGGAGCGTTCGAAACCTTAGATAACAGCTGGATTGTCCCGTATTCGCCCATTCTATGTAAAATATTTAATGCCCACATTAATGTAGAAGCATGTAGCTCTGTCCGCGCAAACAAGTGTATCTGTAAGTACATAAATAAAGGAAGCGACCAAGCAATATTTAATCTCAGGAGTGAAGGTGAGGCAAATCCCGTTAATGAAGTACAGACCTTTCAAGCAGGGCGTTATGTCAGCAGTAACGAGGCAGCGTGGCGTCTCCTTGGCTTCCCTTTACACGCAAGGCACCCAACAGTTACTCACCTTGCTGTGCACTTAGGAAATGGAGAAGGTGTATATTTCACCGAAAGAAATTTCCAAGAAAGAATTGCATCACCGCCAAAAACTACACTAAGAGCCTTCTTTCAACTCTGTCAAACCGACCCCTTTGCAAAAACGTTGTTATATTCTGAAGTCCCCGCTATTATACTTGGAACACATCTAGGAAGGAGTGGAAACGCCGTATTCAAGGCGCGCCTGTTGCAAATTGGCCCGGTGTAAAGTTATCAGATGCCCTTGGTCGTGTGTATACCGTCCATGTAACTAATTTTGAATGTTTCTGTTTACGATTGCTGCTGCACCATGTTCGGGGTCCTACAGGATATAAAGACCTTAAAACTGTCAACGGTCAGGAATGCGCAACTTATAGAGAAGCATGTGAAGCTCTGCATCTTTTAGAAAACGATAATCCCTGGGATGAAACCATGGAGGAAGCTGTGCAGTGTCAGTCACCAGCCAAAATTAGGGATCTTTATGCAACTCTCATATCATCTTGCGGGCTATCTAATGCACATGAATTTTGGGACAAATATAAAGAGTACATGGCGGAAGATATTTTGCCAAGGTTACAGCAGACACACGCGAACATGACATACAATGAACACATTTATAATGAAGCACTTAGAAATATTGAACTTAAAGTAATGGCAATGGTAGGCAAAAAATTAAGCGACTTTGGAATGCCCTCAGCGAATAACCGAAAATGAACTAAGTGATGAAATTATACGTGATACAAACTACGATATACCAGCTTTGCAGCAGCAAGTAGCCGAATTTGTAGCCCGCTTGCTTCCCGAACAAAAACGAGTTTTTGACAAAGTATTAGGACAAATTGAATTTGGAAATGGTGCACTTTTCTTTTTAGATGCCCCTGGAGGAACTGGGAGGACATTTTTGTTAAATTTATTATTAGCGCAAGTACGGAAAGATAAAAACATTGCTGTGGCCGTAGCTTCCGACGGTGTAGCCGCCACGCTGCTAAGCGGGGGCCGCACTGCACATTCTGTTTTAAAACTCCCTCTAAATCTAGCCCTGGAAGAATCGCCGATCTGCAACTTTAGCAAAAATAGTGTACGAGGTATAATGCTACGACAATGCAAACTTTTAGTGTGGGACGAAAGTACAATGTCGCATAAAAAAGCTGTAGAAGCACTAAATCGAACGCTCCAGGATTTGCGCAGCAATACCGATGTAATGGGAGGAATGGTGGTTTTACTGGCTGGTGACTTTCGCCAAACTTTACCTGTCATTCAAAAGGGCACACCTGCAGATGAAATTAAAGCATGCCTCAAGTCGTCTATTTTATGAAACAAGGTGACAAAATTCAGTTTAACTACGAATATGAGAGTGCATTTGTATAATGATATCAATGCTGGAAACTATGCTGACACACTATTAAAAATTGGCGAAAGGCGGTTGGAAACGGATGCTGAGGGCAGCGTTAAATTGATGAGAGATTTATGTAATTTAGTACAGAGTCATTCCGAATTAATTGCGAGCGTTTATTCAGATTTAACGAACAACATGCATGAAGATAAATGGTTATGAGAAAGGGCGATTCTTGCACCAAAAAATGAGAGCGTTAACAAAATAAATTCAGATATATTAAGCGAAGTAGCAGGAGAAGTAACAGAGTATTTGTCAGTAGACACAGTTATGGACACAGAACAGAGCACTTCATATCCCGTAGAGTTTCTAACTTCTCTAGAGTTGTCAGGTGTGCCCTCACATAAGCTTCAATTAAAATTAGGCGTCCCAGTCATGCTAATGCGAAATTTAGATGCTCCTCGGTTATGTAACGGGACAAGGCTGCGTGTGACACATAGTGCTACAATTTTGACAGGCGTAGGAAAAGGTAAAAATGTTATTATACCACGGATCCCTATAATTCCCACAGATCATCCTTTTCAATTCAAAAGGTTGCAGTTCCCTATTAAGCTCAGTTTTGCAATGACAATTAATAAAGCGCAAGGGCAAACGTTATAGGTAGCGGGGGTCAACTTAGAAAAACCGTGCTTCTCTCATGGTCAGCTGTATGTAGCATGTTCGCGTGTGTCAAATGCCCAGAATCTCCACATTCTTTCCCCGAATGGAAAAACATATAACATTGTGTACAGTAGCGTCTTAAAATAGTGTTCAGTTAGTTTTTTTTCCAAAATTCCTACAATCAATTAATCAGAATTCCCACAGATCTTCCCTTTAAATTTAAACTTTCCTATATAGCATTCCAAATGCTGCACCTCTGACGGACCTATTAAGCTCAGTTTCCTTTCAACTCAAAAGGTTGCATCTCTGACGGATCTTTTATTTGGCTCCTTCTGGCTATTTGGTTTCTTTTAATGGCTGCATCTCTGACAAATCTATAAAACTCAGTTTTCTTTCAATTCAAAAAGCAATGGATAGTTCATTTCCCAGTGACCATGCGGGCGAAGCCGCGGGTAACAGCTAGTAACTAATGTATTCGTTATTCCTAAAGAATCTAAAATATTAGATAGTTGGGATACTAGACTAACTGATTTCTGAATCTAAAATATTAGATAGTTGGGATACTGGACTAACTGATTTCGTAAGTAAATTTTTTTTTAAGTGTATTGCATGTGCATTCCTAACTTTTATAATATAGTCTTAAAGTTAGTTAATAATTCTTTCGTTTTTCATGTTGCTTTTGTACAGTACTTAACTACCTTTCCTTTCGTTATCCCTTACTGTATGAAGGCTTTTATGGAAGCCTTGTAAGGAAAACGCCGTCAATTCACGCCGTTTTGTGCTCGTTTGTCGCCGTTATTATTTAACAAAGAAAAAACAGTATAAGGAACACTAGGTTATTTTTTTTATAGGATAGGGTGACAAACGAGCACACGGTCCACCTGATGGTAAGTGGTTGCTGTGGCCCATAGATATCTACATTTATCCTCGTTTGCGAATCAAAATGCAGATGTGTTGTCACCCGTGAGGACTAAGATAGAATGCCTCTTTTCCAGTAAAAAGGGTCTCCGGTTCTCTACACTCACCATACGAAACACAGCAGCAAGCTGCTATTTGACGCTGGTATTCTGTGAGAGCGTGGTCCTTCCGCGGTCGAGCCGACCCATTCGTGCTACAACTGTACTATTAATATAGCTGCAGCCTGGCTCTACCACGTAAATTTGCCTTACCTTTCTCTTTCTCCTTTCATTTACGGTCACTGATCAATCGCCTTGTCTTAGTGCACAGGTAAATTGTTATCGTTTACTTTAGTGCACTATTCCCGTTAATCGTTCCCCCCTTTTATTTAATTATTTTCTGGGCTCTGGACAAAGACTTCCATATACTATGTTATTACACCGACAATTCAGAACAAAACTGTGTCACAGCTGTTCGTCGCGCGGGTTTAGTGCGCAATGAGAAAAGTCTCCCAGCCCATCTACTAGTATGCATAGAAGTTATTGTCTCTGGATGGCTGTGTAACAAATAAGACCGTCTTTTGTTCTTCCTCAATATTTTTGTCAATATTTGTTTCGTTCATCTTTCTTTAGTGTCCTATGAGGAGTATTGTAGACATTTGTAAAGAATTAGGTATTTATTAAGATACTGTTCAAGTTTATTGCAGTGTAGGCTTCGGGCTGATATTTTTGGCAAAAAACGGTAAAGATAGGGCATTAAAGAAAACTCACTGTTAAATACAATAAAGTATCTTTTATTTTTTTTAAACATTTTATAATAACATGTTTCATATACAATATTAAATATTCGTCACCTTAATGTCCGACACATGCTAAATAAATCAGAACGATTTCAAAACAAATGTGTAACTTATCTAACTTTTATTCGTTTTGTGCTTAATATAATCTGGTGTTACCGTTACAATAATTTATAAGTGCTACAATTTCAATAAAGGCGCTTTAATTCATTCTACATTATAAGTAGATCGTGAACGTCGTAAACCTTATAAAGTACGCTACGTTTTTGTGACAATTAGGTTCTAATCATGTTGCATGAAATTTGAATATAATCTGTTAGTAGTCGACGTCAACTAAAAGCTATTGTGTTTCTCCATGTTAAATACTCGACTAACTTCTCATCTAGGTTATAAAATAATATGTTAGAAATAATGATATGTGGTTATTTCGTTTATACGTAAACTATTTAAACATCAAAAGTAACAATTAATTTTTTAAATATCACATAATATTCGTAAAAATATTCATCTATTATATTAATATTTTAAAATATCTTATGTGGTCCATTATAACACATTAACTCTAATACGTGCCAGCGTTGCGACATTTTGTTTTGATATTTGTTGATTTACCTTTGTGCTTACACGAGGAGATAAAATGGGAGTGTCTTTATTAATATCAAACAACAGACTGTGTATGCATAAAGAAAATCGTCGTGATTATTGTATTTCTACATTGCAAGAGCAACAAACGTTGCCTAAACGTCCAAAAAATGCAGACAAATAAAAAATTACCGGATTGGTTTTATCGAAGTAAATTCTACACATTGTTTAAACTAGACTCTAAGCAAAACTGTTCTATATTTTTATGTTAACACTGCCATTTTTACACTTCGTCTGTTTGGAAGACCAGTGGATTTTTAATTGTAAGAGGTTAAAACTTTATTACATTATTTCTGAACGCTAGTTTAAATGCTTCAACTTAACAGCAGGGCAAAAGTAACAGCTTTATTGAAGTCGGATAAATACGAATACATTCATATTTCTACATACTTATTCGACATTACGACTGTAAACATTCATATCACAATTGTTTGTTTATATGTAAAAGCTTATTGAAAAACTTCATTTGGATATATCCGTTAAGACAAAAATTGACAAGTCCCTGCTTCAAGATTATAAAACAGCATATTTCAGCATCATTCGTAACAAAAATATATAGATACTAAGCGACGTTAATAAATTAAATCCACAGCCACAGCGTATTCCTGCTATTTAAAATTCAGCTATATCCTACAAAAAAGAACAATCAAGATGATTAATGTATAAATTGTATCATCTAAAATAACCGACTAATTTCATGGTTGCGGTGAATTTTGATTTCTACGTCTGGCAATATTAGCTTCGAAGTGTCAGTTGAGCGCAGTTGCTCGTTAGCTGGCACGCAGCGTGAAGGTGTTATTCATTGAGTATGCAAGTGCGCATCAGAGCGTCGACGACTGCGTATGGGTCGCAGTTCGAAGCCGGTCGCCTGTCTTCCAGGTAGCCCTTTTTCTCCTCCGCGACGGCGCGCGGTATTCTTATGCTGCTACCGCGGTTGGCGACACCTAATAAGAACATTAATAAATATATAATATTTTGAAGTCTATTTTCTTACTACAACAAAAATCATAAAGTTACAAACGGTATGATAAAGTTTATGTCTTAGCATAATATCCTTGGCGTCCTGTTCGCGAACCGCGGATTTAGAGTTATATTCCCAAAATGTTAATTGCCTGTGTCAAGTAAACATTAGTATTTTGGTAACACATACCGGCACTGAAGTCGTTAATACTGGCAGTTTCATGAAGGCCGGTGAGTCTTCGTTCGTTGTCTTTACCCCCACGCGGGTCATACACCTTGATGTGCTTCATGTGCACCTTCGACAGCTTGTCTATGGCCTTTTCGATTTCACTGCAACAATCAATTAATAATGCATAAAACTAAGGCATTTAAACTTTCAACGAAGAGAGAATTTAGTAGCTATAGAGGGAATGGAATGTTAATTACATCAAAGTCCATGCATTTGAACATAGATTACGAAGTTCATAATATGTTCCAAAATCTATCTTTGCTGTCATCAAGTTGGCTTTTTTTTATAAAAATGAAGTGAGAAACGAATTTACATTCGACCTGACAGTAAGTGGGTACTGCAGTCCCTGCACACCTACAGCCTGGAAGTTCCCAAAAATCCCTACAGACGCATCTTCACTTCTGAGGGCTAAGATGGAAAGCCTCACCACTTTTATACTGACTCTACATACCCTTCAGAGCGGAACAGCAGTGCAAGGACTGCTATTTGGCGACAGAAACTGGTAAGAGGTTAAGCCTGCCAACCCAGACTAACTCTTAGGCTGAACGAACTGAGGCAACGAGCAGCTGGTGTTTGGTGTTGGCACGTTCTCCCCTTACTCCCCTTACATATTTAAAATGCGGTGTAATTAGTGTTGCCAGAGTGGCGAATTTCCCGGTTTTATGAAGTTTTATTGTATAATATTAGTATATAATTGTCAATAATAATTAAAGATCTCGCGAGATCATTATTACTCATCATTATTACAGACTTTCACAAGTCCACTACTGAGCTTAGGCTTAGGTCTCCCCCAAGAAATGCCACAATGCACGGTCCTGAGCCACCTGCATACATCAACTTCCTGTAGACGAAGTGTAGGGGATAGGGTACTCTACCGGTACGAGGTTGCCACTCGAGAACTTTTGTCGGTTCTTCGAGCAATATGGCCGGTCCATTGCCACTTCAGCTTACTATTCCGTTCTTACTAATCTCGCGACATATTAATAGGTTTTTGTGAAGTTACGGCTCCTATTTCGAAGCTGTCCTGTAGGATCGAAGACGATTGCTGCCTTAGCAGATTATCAATCCAAAAGTACACTACCCAAAATCTGTAAATTTTTTAACCTCTATAAGGTATACCTATTTAAATTTCCTCGTAAAAGATAAGTAAAATTCCTTTTTTGAATACATAGGTTTACAATTACGATTGTTCGATCTCGTGCAATAATCGACAATGTTTTCCTAAATACCTCGACCCGAATTGCGACCAAGGTGAAGCGAGATACTTAAGCCATTTTAATTAATGATAAAACCTGAGCGTAAGTATTTTTGCAAACCGTACAATTTAATGCCTATGCTAAATGAGAAAGAGAAATTGAATTAAAATTTGAATGAAACGAAAACGATTATGAGTTTTAAGGGTAAAGTAATAAATAAAGGTCGTATTATTTATGTATAAAAAAATACCTATATTGTGATCAATTTTTAGTGGACGGAGAAAAAAGGTCAACAAAATAAAAATAAAAGATATTTTTGACGTTGACAAAAACCGTTACGGTTACTCCACTGCTGAACGGAGGCCTCCCCTATAGATTGCTTCATAGAGGAGATAATTGCCATAGTTTCCAACCATAGATAATCTTTATATGTAAAAATTACGCGTCACGTTGTTTGTCTGCGATGAACTCCTAAACTACTGAACTGATGTCAATGAAATTTTGCACACTGTGTGCGATAAGTGACCCTCATTTTTTTATTGCTAATTTCAGGAGTTTTTTTTTAGGAAAGCAAATGGTTGTCGGAAAGGGTAGAACGACGTCTGTCTGGTCAGCTAGTATACTATAGGTTTCCACGCTCGGCAAGCATTGGCGTTGGTAACCGCAGTTTTTTTTTATTTTAGCCGTTATTAGGAAGACGCTGCTGCCCATCTCCAGATTTGTTTCCTTCTGTCGCCTCTTACGACATTCACGGAATGATATAGAGTAGTGTACTCTCTGAAAAGTTTCTGGCTGTGATATAAATAAATTCTAATATAAATGGACCGGTGCCCATAAGTAGGCATGTATAATACAATACGCATGCACAATGTTCGTTTCATTTCTTTTTAAATGCATACTCACATAATACCGTTCTCCTCCCTCATCTTCTTCGTAGAGAAGTTGGTGTGAGCACCGGAACCGTTCCAGTCTTGAACCGGCTTAGGATCGAAGGTGACGATGACCCCGTACTCCTCGGCCAGCCTGTGCAGAATGTACCGCGCCATCCACAGATCGTCGGCGGCTGTGACTCCCACCGACGGCCCCACTTGGAACTCCCACTGAGAGGGCATCACCTCCGCGTTGGTGCCGCATATTGGTACTCCGGCGTAAAGACAACATCTGTAGAAAACATTGTGTTTTTACCGTACTACTACTTAACCGAAATAGCTAATGTTTTTATATAGGTAAGTAGTTAGTTTTAGCGTTAAAATCCTAGATGATAAATAATATGAATTTAATAAAGCATTGACTTATCAATATCCCCTTTTTATAAAGATTTCCTTTACTATTTATTTCCTTTTTAGGGTTTTATAACTTTGGGCTAAGACTTTGGGTAGGTATTCGTGTTGGGCACCCATGCGCCTAATCGTATGTACCGGACTACGCCACGAAAATATTATTTCGCAATACAAATTAATCCAAACTTTATGTATCTAATATAACTGAACATTTTAGCTGCCATGTACATTTATAAATAAACTTGCCATCAGATGGTCTTGCCCATAAAAAGGCGGGAACGTAAGTTTTATAATCGTAAGGTTCATTTAATAGTTTAGTATACCGAAACATGAATTAGCAATAGAGTATAATAGCTATGAAAAAAAAAGTGTTTGGCGTATGGACCGACAGGATTTTTGGGTGGATGGGGCACGTCGGTTCCATACGCCGAACGCCTTGTATAGCAAACAAATTCAACTTTTGAAAAAATATGCTGGTCGTCCCTACATTGATTCTACGTAAATGTCAAAACAGTACAGTGTTCTACATGGCCTTACCTGTAGTGAGCTTCAACTAAATCCCTGGCGAAGACCTTGTTTGCGCCAACGCCGCAGTAGTAAGGGCCCTGTGGTGGTGGGAAACCGCCTGGCGGCCAACCAAAGGGCCTGAGGTCCGAGTCGAGCAAAATGTACTCCTGCTCGATACCGAACCAGGGCTCTTCGTCCTTGCACTTGTCGTATGCCTCCTGGCACTTGACCCGGTGATTGGTCTCTGGGATATAATTTAATGATATTATTAGCCAGGCACGGTGTTCAGTCCGGGGAGCGGCCAATGGTCCTTATGGCAGTTCGGAACTATTCTACATATACCGCAGTACTTCCGAACTTTCATAGCGTGATTTAGGCTTCGGTGCGAGACAGCACCGCCTCAATAAAAAGTTAAAGAACAACTAAAATTCATACTTATAGAATATATAAAAATTGAAACGCAATTGCAAACGGAAAGCATAAATCCATCGGAAATAATAAATCGAGCTTACTGACCCCGTAAGATCAAAGTTTAATATTAATAAAACACGTATGTTCAAAGAGATTATAAATTATCCCAATGGCGAATGGAATATATAGTGAAACACGTATTAAAAACTCTAATACTTAGCTATAAAAAGCACAAATAATGGCAGTAAGATAAATAAAACGAACGGGTTGCGCTAATTTTTTTATAGAATAAGGATAACAAACGAGCACACAGTCCACCTGATGGTAAGTGTACGCTGTGGCCATAGATATCTACATCCATCCTCGATTAACAATCAAAACGCAGATGTGTTGTCAGCCCTGAGGAGTAAGATGGAATGCCTTGGTTCCAGTAAAATTAAGGTGGCTACTGACCTGCCTGCCGCAGGGGCAATCTAGGGTGTAGGAGTGGGGATGACCCTTAATTGCCTCCTTAATTGTGATGTGTGTAGGCAAGCAGGGGCAATTTTTTAAGTCGGCCCTGCGGCCTTCGATATTGCTCCGATCGCTGTGCTCCCTAGATTGCCCCTGCGGCAGGCAGATCAGTAGCCGCCTTTACACAGTTGCTTAGTATCGACAGACATCCGTTTAAATTTCGTAAATTCTGAATACAAATTAATGCCAATTACGTAAAAATGGCTTTTCTTTTATTTTATATTGCCTTGGAAAATTTTTGTTTACGAAATCATACCTATTAAGAAAAAGGGCTACAAAACCAACCAATTTTAGTTCATCAATAGAATCATTCCTGACACTATAACTAAAAGGAATTATGGAAAAAGTAGGTTCTAAGTATGTTTGAGAGCATAAGTAAGGAAAAGCCCCTAGTCTAGACAGTTATTGCATTAATTTTTAATTTAGTACTCCCCTGAATTACGTTTCTGTGACAAGGCAGGAAATAAACCTAATAGCATTTCCAAATGACATGCATTACATAAACGACAATTTAATTCACCCGTACTTACTTTGATAGAGGCTCAAATAAGTGGTTAGGTGCATAGATGATAGGTAATTATATATACTAGACTCTAGTAACTAGATAGTAAGGGACACCTTGGCTATCGTTGTCAACATTACTTGTTAAATAACTCATATAAGTGCAATAAAATGCACGACACTAATGTAATTAATATGTGGTTTTGTTTCGTCAGGAGAAAAAAAAAATAACCAAAAAAAGGAGCGAAGGAAGCGTCGAAACAATGCCAAATTTAAATTTTAAAACTCAATTTACATTTTTTTAAAACAGATTAAAATCATAGTCTGACCAGCCAAAAGGATCATAAGAAAACGAATATTCATTCGTTCGGTGTGTTACTAAACCATATAGTATGTTACAAAACTAATTTTACTGTTACAGCCTAATAAAATTCCACTGCTGAACATAGGCTTAATCTCGGAAACTATTGGGTCTACGAGACAGTTCTAGTATCATATTGTACCAAATTTAGTCTACTTTAAAAACGTTCTAAAAAAGTTTTTTCAAAAACTAGTCCTTTAGGGTTATAATCGCCAAATTTTGAAAAAAAAAACTATTTATTCGCGGTTTTTTCGATTTTTGACAAATTGTGTTCAGCGCTCGAGAAAACAAGCTTGGATTATTCATTAGGCCAACATCATAAACAAGTCTGCAAAAAATCAGAACTACCGGATTTGACGCATACTACCCCGTACTTTCAGGTAACAAAGTTACTGGATTATAATCGAAAACTCACCAGTAGGCTCCATGTTATACTTGAAGGTGTCGCACATTACAAGCAGATGGTTTCCGCGACGGAACGGGTCCTTGTATAGGGCGCGGGGTACTAGGAATGTGTCCGAGTTGTGGCCGTCCGCCTGTCCAGTGGAGCTGCCGTCGAAGTTCCATACAGGAAGATCTAAAACATTTGACACTGTCAGCAGGCTTCTGACTACATAGCAAGCTATAAATAAAAAAATAGAATCAGGATGTGGCTTATATATTTTATTTCTGGCTTTGGTTGTAGCTCGAATGGGTCGACTCGACCGGGGAAGAACCATGCTTTTACAGATTACCAGCGTAAAATAGCAGCTTAATGCCGCTGTGTTTTGTATGGTGAGTTTAGAGGACCGGAGATTCTTTGTACTGGAATCGAGGCATTCCATCTTAGTCCTCAAAGATGACAACGCATCTGCACTTTGATTTTTAATCGAGGACTTACCATCAGGTGGACTGTGTGCACATTTGTAGTCCATATTTTATATAAACAATCTGGATTATGCTTTACCCTTTTAGAAGTAAGAAATTTAGTCTTGTTTATAATAATTGATTCGCGATGTTAAAACTTGCCAAATCCTGTTTCTACTTATGATATATTTTAATAACTTTTGGCTGTTTAGTACAACTAGGCTATAAATATATAATATATTAAGAATTATTAAGCAATATAAATACAATAACTATAATATACATTAATTATTTCATACTCTTTTGTATTTCAAATATTCACCTGCGATAATTGGACGTAGTTATGCAAAAAGGATCCAACCGCGATAAGTTAATTTGAGTTTATGATATTTGAAGTATCCATATTTCAAATATCATAAACTCAAATTATCGGTATGGTTTCTGTCTGTTTGTAATGTTTCTTCTTATTTGTGTTACGTTTGCTAAAATTGTTACATCACATAATAGTATAGACAACAAACATTATTTTTCAAGTCAACATTTTTGACACAAACTCGGGTTGGATCTTTTTTGCATGACCACGTCTAATTACTAAATAATAATCTATTCTATTATGTTATATAATGTAACCACTACTTAAAACCACTTTTAAATCTATCAAAATACTACGAGGGCTACATAACGACGCAATAAAAACAATAACGCTAGGAACGGGTTCTTCGCTACATTTCTACGATTGCTGGACGATATTAGAGAAACCTCGCAAGTTCTCATCAAAGCTATCCCTGTTCTCTCTCTCCCTCTGCTCGCATCTAATACCGGGAACATCGGGTACATCCTTCGGGAAAAAGTACGGCGGTGAGTATTTGCATGCATGGGACATAGTTAAATCGTTACTCGCAGACAGTTTACGTTGCTCGTACAATGCTTCTATAATTCTTGTTAGCTTATCTGCGATAAAATAATAGACTGTTTTGAAATTCGAACATATCAGTAAAATAAAAAATGACAGGTAAATAATTTATTAATTTTATTTATTAAGGCGTAGGTAACGACTTAGTGTTATCGCTTACTTATATTATTAAGTAATAATAATAATTATCTCTACTATACCTATGTATCTTTTTTTTCTATTGTTATTTAGTGAAAAGAAAGAGAGCAACTTAAAGTTTTCTTTAATAATTAATGTTTATTTCTATGAGTAACTTCATTGATTTTAAGTGTTCCATGCTAAAATTCATCAAAACCGTACACTATCTGTCGCAGTTTTTCTTAGAAATTTTGACGTACCTACCTAATTAATAGTTATAAAATTTCACGTGACGATTATAATTCGATTTATAAAGTTGTGAGGTTTGGATAAAAGAGTAAATTGGAAAATAAAATAAGTACCTATATTTTTTTTCAGATTATCGTATGGCGTGTCATTGAAAGTTGTTTTTAAGTTCCATTCCAAGAACATATATTCCGCTGTTTTGTGTTTATTGAACATCTTCCATTTTGCATAATAAAACTATTAGTAAACTATTCTGAGAATTGTATTATTGTTTTTTTTTACGAAAACTTAAAAATCACTCGTGTAACACCTGTATATGTAGAGCAATGCCCGCGAATGTTTGTTACACTTTACACAGGTTTATTTATAAACCGTAATAAAGAATTTATAAGACAGCCTATTGCGTTGTTGATTTTGATCAAATAACAGCCGGAAAACTTGTTCTTTTAAAACTATCAAACCACTCGCCAGTGTTATCTTAGTGTCATTAGATTCCGAAAGAAATTAAATCAGCCCCTTAAAAAAGGTCCCGATAAGGGACCGCGCTAGGGTTGTCACAAATAAAACTATATCCTGTTGTAAACTCTTGTAAGGGACTGAGCCAAATAATGTACGTGAGGGTAATATAGTCACCTTAAGCTTTGTCGCCCTATAAAACCAAAACTAGGTCCTCCTCCTGGACAGAGACAAAAACACAAAGTCATATACTATAACTAAATATATTTAAAAAAAAGTAGCAAACAAGTTTTGGCAATAATTAGGAATTAACAAAAAAAAAACTAATTACTCGAAACTCGACTACTAAAATCGACTAAAATATTTACTATAATGTCAACTATCAAAATGGCGTCGATAAAGCAGCGTCCTTTTGACCCTTTATTATTTTATTGACTTATGAAGAGCTATCGTATCACAAAGACATCTATGCTAACAAGGCTGTAGTTTTTGAGTTATAAGAAAGTGGCTATATTAACTGGAAGGCCATATTACCCTAACGTACTATATAATCAAGGATGCGGACCGTAAACTCGAAAGGGTTTGTATCTGCCATTCGACTACTGTCGTGAACAACTCCTTACTTGGAGGACTTATCAGTTTATGTGTGTTATGCAATTTTGATAGCGTTACTTATATTCTTATACTAATTAAAAATGGATAACCCTTGTGATTCACTGATTTTAGAGTAATCATATTTACACCAGTTGTTGCACAATAGATCGTCTACCGTGAAATCTGGCAACCTTGCCATTTTTAAAAGTACTTAAAAGCTTACGACCAATTTTCCAACTAAAAATGTACTGTCAGACTGGGCGTCAATGTTAAATGTGACATTATATTCTTCATAGATTTGATATTTATTAGTGATTTAAAATAACTACTAACATTAAATAGACAAAACACTCAAAAACTAAAAATGACCAAGTTAACTTCACTTTGTGGCAACTTTGCCATCAGGGTTTATAAAGAAAATACATAATACTATTTAACGTAAAGGTTGAAGGTAAGTTAACCTTATAATATAATACACAACACTCAGAGTTTTGATTTGCTCCTTTAATTGTACTGTAAATATAATAAAGTTAACCTTTTGGCAAAGTTGCCCTCTCATTTTTCAATATTTCATACAAACTTGGACATATGTGTCAGGGTTGTCAAAAATCCATGATTACGTACTTACTTTTTTATTTAATAATTTTAACACAAGTATTCGTTTTTTACTAGTCATCATTATCGAGTCGTAATACAATGATTTAAGATTATAATTATTGTAATCAATATAGATTTTTTTCGACAATATCTAAACATTAATAATCATTAAAAATGGCAATTAATATTTTGTTTAATATCAATACGTTGAAAACACTAAGTTGAAATTATGAAAAATACTGAGTAGTAATAATATTATTAATGCCTAACAACGCAGTAAAAAAACATAGATTTCTCTTTTCTTTTCCTTAATTTTTGATAAAGATGAATTGATTGCCGACTCATTTGGTAAAATTGGTCTAATGGGCTGCTACGGTGAAACATCGATACAAACATACATACATACCATAGAATGTCAAGTACAGAACAATTTGTTTAAATAGTTGTAATCGGTTAAAACTATAGGCTGAAAGTGACAACCCGAGGTTGGCAAAGTAACCGTCACATTGTGAAATCACTAGTATGGTAACTTTGCCAAGTTACTTTTATAGACAAATATTAAGACCAACATGTAAAAAACGATACGTTACATTTGATAACTATTAATGATATGTTACTACAAAGATATAAATAGGTAGGTATCAGTATTTGAAACAAAAAAACTAAAGTTCTGGAGCACAGAACAAAGATGTTATTTCGCCGATACAATTCCGTGTTAAAATAAAATGCCAAAATTAACTCTCGTGATGCCATATCGAAAGCAATGCTGTCAACTAGTTATTTTATTTTTATCCAAAAAATGGCATATCTCGAAAAACCTTACATTTTTCGAGTTAATCGTAATTTTGCACCAGTACATCCCTGATGGCAAAGTTAATTTCTATTGGTAAAGTTGCCAGACTTGACTCTATTTTGTTTGAAATTCGTTCTTGAGTTATTAAATAAAGGTTTTCTATGATGTATCGACTAGATAGTCGAATATTTAGTCGATAAAATAAATGAATCCTGAAGGTAGAATCATTAATATCGTGTAATGTAGAGTGTATAAAGCTATTTGTAAGTATTAATTACCAAATGTTTAAATTGCGATTATAAACCACAGATTTCAACTAACAATGCCGCCATACTACCACATGTAATATATACACCGTAAAGGACAACCGTCTGATTAGTAAAATTTTTACTAAGAAAAGGTTTGATGCTAATATTTACTACAAAAAATATGTTATTAATTTGACAGCCCTAGGATATGTGAAAGTTTCATTCCGATCCGATGCTTTGCGCAACAGTTCAATGGCGCCTGCATTTTGTGACAAATGTCGGATATCAGTAATGGATTAATTGATGTTAGGCCGAAGTTATTAGGCCTGCGCCGTATCGGTCAAATAGCCATCGTGTTTGAGTGAACGGATGGAAAAACATTTAAAAAGAACGTACATTAATTTAATGTGACTCTTTACTATATCTAGGTATCCACTATACTGGTATAGTATAGTATTCTGGTATTTGGTACAGTGCCTTATGCTAATATCGCTCTGTCTATCACGATATTTATAACTGCTCCAATCGTATCGACTAATGATTATAATTCGTTCAACGGGGCAAAGGTCCAGATAAGCGATGCCTACGGCTTGTATTGCAGAAACTATTTAATGATAATGTAAAATTTTAGCAAATATTGAAGGAATTCCCCGTTGAAATCGATTCGAAACCTACACGTTGTTTTGTAAATATAAAACCTACCATACCTAAACCTGCATTTGAACAGAGAGAGTAGTCGATAAAAGAGTTGAAATATGATCGCGTGCCAAGCTGCACAGCAGTTCTAAGAACGTTGTCTATTCATATATGTAGATCCTATGATTTAACTAGTGTTATGGATATGAAGCCGACAATCCTGAACGTTTTGTATTGGAATCGTGTTTTTGGAGTGATGTCATAAATTTTTGAAAAAAAAAACATGCGTGAGTGTCGTGGAACACTCGGTAGGAACGGAGTTCCTTTCGTAGTATATTATTATTGATAAACGTCTTATATTATTGATTAACAAATACAAATAAATGAATTACTAACGTCTATAAAGTGAAGCGTCATTTAAAGTAAAATAATATTTCTTCCTTGGCAAGATAAGAAAAAGTGCGAGGAAGATGTATATTATTCCATCTCGTTTCCTTATAGCCGCCAAGGCGGTCTACACTACGTCAGAAGGGGTCGTCACGGAAAAATATTACATTTTTTCTCGCCTACCGTATCTACTATTATTTATTCTGTGGCCAAGCCCCCATCTTATCATAAGGAACTTCGTTCGAAAAATATAATCCTTATATGTATTTAAATGAATGCTACATGACTATTACCGTATTTTCTTGCGTCTGCACTTCACTGGTTTCTATTTTTAATTTAAACTATAAGAATCATTATATATATTTTAATTTAAAGTGCTTTTTCTTTTCCCAACTTGTTTCAAGAAAGAAATATATAAATCTGCCTTCATTAGTCCAATTGCTGGGTACAGGCCTCTTCGTAATACTGAGAGTGTTCTGGGCGGCGTTTATTTAGCTATCTCAATATTATTTGGCAAACTTCACGTGTATTAACATTTTTTTTTATTTCCCTGACTTTAAGTTGTCCTTACCCACCGACCATTCGGAAATCGGCACCTAAACTTGCAGTTAATAATGTTAGCGCTGGTGGGTTTTAAAACTATATTAAGTAAAATACTAAAAATACGATTTCATGCGACAAAACGTTGGAATCTTAATTTTTAGGCCCAAGTAGAACATACCGATGCGCTTAGATGCAATATTCGATGTTGAAATGCCATATTTTGAATAATCCAAATATGTATCTGCAACTAGTTTCCATTGGCTGTGTGCCAACATTACCACTGCATGTCATATGAAAAGAGATGATACACCAAATGTACTTGAGATTGATTTACCTAATGTTTGTTTATTATTTACAGAACTCGTAAAAAAAATATACCGCTTTCCGAACGTCCGGGCGGTGTTAGTAAAATGCAACTAGTTTACTAACTGCGACGTTTTCGAAGGTCGCACAATTAACGCGGTTAAACGCTAATGAAAACAGTTAATGCGGACATATTAAAACTTTTAATAGGTGTGTCATGTTTCATGGAACAGTTGGGTGGTTAGCTCATAAGCCCATTGTTGGGTAGATAATAATTGAAACGTTTGTTTACGTTACAAAGCCGGGTGATAATTCTATGTTACAAAGCTTATAAACATTTCGAAACGCTCGTCGGCTGTTATTTTGAACGCGACCTTGCTGGAGTGCGGTTAAGGTTTTGCTAATTACAATACAATGTTGTTTTCTATTTTCAAAAGCGAATTGTAGCATCATGTCGATAGATATTGTTAAGGTGGTTATATAATATCTAAAAATACCGTTTTTTTTTACAATTTGTTTTTACTATAACGAAATCCGAATCAGATTTGATATAAGAAGAATAAAGATTCTTAAATTCTAAAAATCTAAAACTCCTTTTAGCCGTTATAGACGTCCCACTGCACAGGTCTTCCCTCATTCCTGAGAGGGTTTGGAATTTTTTTTCTTTTATTTCTCAGACATGCAGGTTGCCTCACGATGTTTTCCTTCACCGCCGAGCACGTGGTAAATCAGCACTTAAAATTGCAAATAACAATTTCATTGGTGCCGGCGGGGATCGAACCCGGGTTGCTCGCATACTGTGAAATTTACACCGAGCGCTAACCTTCTGAGCTACCACGGCTCCTTACAACGTAAATATTTGTCTGCTAAAATATTATAAAAGCTTCCGAGAAACTAAATTGCGTATTATTAATAAATTATAATATATTTACATATCATTGCTTACGTATTGTCATAGGCAAGCAACGGAAAAATTATTCGCGACGCAATGCGATCGACACTATACGCTGTTGTTGCAATTCGAAGAACGCAAAAACGTTAGTCGAACACGTATATGTACTACTACAAGATTTTCTCTCGTATATTTTATCGTATATCTAATGACGTATTATATATAAGTTTATACATCATTGCGTATATCGCTTTATAAATGTATAAAATTAAACCTTCAAACCTTTATTATTTTATATCTTTCTAAATTTTTAATTAATTTCAAAGCCCAATAACTAACTCCGGGCTGCTATCATTGAGTTATAATATACTAAGTACTAATAAACAATTATTAAATACTGATAATTCTACCTACGTATAATCTATGATGACAAAAACTGACCATGCAGGCGCAATGCGCTCTACTATCTCCCGGGCATGCGCGACGACATAGAGTAGCGTACATTTTTTGTTTGGAATAGCTTCTCTAGTACGTAAAAGTACACTATAACTCATTGGCTGCTATTGGGTATTTCTTGACTGAAACACTCAATAACTGATTTAATTGGCCTAACTCGGAATCCGAACACCGGCACCTCATTATCAACAGCCGCGGACCACTAGATCAACGATGCAGTCAATTAAACTGTAGTTAATGATCAAAGTAGCTTGATCAAACATTTTCTAGTATACATTGTTATATGCACTACGTACTAGAGAAGCCATTCCGAACATTGACTATGTTCAACTGAACTGTACTGCAATCCATACAAACTAAATATTGCGTAAATTGAAGTTTTGTGAATTCCATAAAATAATTATTATTACATTTTATTTACAAATATAACCTGTTTGTTTAGATGAAATTAAGATATTTTATATTAAATTCTTATATTTATTCTATATTAATATCTTATTTTATATCAAATTAAAGTCTTCGCGCATGCGCGACTACTACTCCCGCGCAGCGCGAAAACATAGAGTAGGACACAGTTTTTGTTTGAAATGGCTTCTCTAGTACGTAGTACATATAACTCAATGCTAGTATATCTATTTATCTATTGAAGCTTGCATCATATTTCAATCGCCTCAAAGTTGCCAATTCACTTTATTTTAGGCTAGAATATTGTTTTATATACTATATCTATTCATATATAAATATCGTTAGTAATCATCTGAGAGAATGGCATAGTTCTGTAAATCAAGAATTTTTGAAATATATCCTAACTTTAGTGCATCACACAAAACATAAGCTGTTTTTATTACTTAGATTAATCTATAGATATAAGTATCTTGTAAGTACTATGAGGAAAAGTCTGCTATTTGGGAATATCCGGATTGATATTTACAGTGGATTTTAATATTATAATTCGGTTTTTATTACCATGTTTTTAAACTCGCATTAGTGTTTGGTGTTCGCCTCGATTTGCATAACTAATAATTAATTTAGTAATTTAAACTAACTTCCCTATAAGCTAGACTTGCAATATTTTGAACATACCTCAGAATCGGATCACATTGTAAGGATATGAAATAAAAAAGGTATATTAAAAGAAATACTTTTACTACTAGTTTCCTCCCTGGATGTTGTTGTTTTTTCCATAAATTAATTATTTTGTAAGCTTTCCCCATATTTGGCGATAAAACTGAACCAAATTTAACGAACATTAAAAGTAAAAGATTTATACAGAAATAGCAACACTTCTCTTTACATTATTAGAGAATGAAACATTGGAATAATTCAGACTGGGCAGCAGGCAGCTAGACAACCAAGAGATGCTCTCTTGGTTGTCTAGCTCGGTCGATCAGACGCAGTCCTATGGCCATTAATCGTTAAAAACCTATTCTTCAAATTTCTTACAGCCGAGATATCCTTTTTAAAGTTATATAAAGTAACTGCATACTTTCGGCATATTCTCTGCAATAAACGTTTTCTATATTTTTAAATATAAACATCTAATTCTTACCTTTAGGCTGCTTAGGGATGAAGTTGAGCGTGCGGTCCTTGCATCTCATATGCTCGCCGCTGCCGTCGATCCAGATATAGGTGGCGAGGATTTTGTCGGCCGGCAGTGGCAGGTCATTGTACCTGCTCAGCAGGGTCTTGGAGAGCACCGCGTTCGGCGAATTAGTCAAGACGGGTCCCGACAGAATTTTGGGATTATCTGTTGAAGAATAAAATTAGATTTAATCGTTGCCATAGTAATCTTAGAAACAGATAGTGCGTAGGAACGCGATGTCAATGAACTCTAAAGACTCTAGCCTACGTAGCAACGCACTTTGTGTTAATATCGAAATAATACATTTTTAATATAGTACGTGAGGGTAATATGGTTATCCGGTTAATATGGTCACTTTCTTATAACTCAAAAACTATAGCCTTGATACGGTAGCTGTTCATCAGTCAATCAAATATTACAGGATCAAAAGGACGCTGTATTAACGACGCCATTTTGGCAATTCATATTATAGTAAATATTTTAGTCGATTTTAGTATTGTGTAGTGTAGTTAATTTTTTTGAGTTGATTTTACGAAGTGTTCCTAATTATTTCCAAAGCTTGTTTGCTATTTTTTTCTTAATATATTAGATATAGTATACGACTTTGTATTTTTGTCCCTGTCCTCCTCTGTAGTTGTAGTTTTATGGGGCAGTTTTATGAAGCTAAAGGTGGCCATATTATCCTTACATACCTTAGTATATTATTATTAGCCGTAAAAAAACCTAATTTCGTCTCGTGGATGTCGTAAGAGACGACTATATGAAATTAGAATCAGTTTTATAGCTTCTGATAGATTGTGGTGTAATCATCTCGGCTAAGCCAGTGGTAAAACGCCCTTACCGACGATTGAACAGCGAATAGCGCTAAAGGTGGTTACTATTTAGCACGAGTACTAACTGAAATAATATCTTGAAGTCAGGTTTTAATTTATATTACTTAAATGTTTAATTTTAGTACATTTTTTTAGTTTTTACATTGGGTGTTTGTAAGAATTAGATTTCTGCTAAGTCCTGAAGGCATTTTACTGTACTTGTGTACTTAAATTCCCCATGGATGTACGCATAACAAAATACCTAGCCGCTACTCTACCGAATCAAAAATGTACAAGCGCCACGCTCGGTAGGTCGGTAGGCGATGAGCGATTATACGCACGTCTATACAAATAGGCTGTTTGTAATGTCAAAACAACAGCTTTTTACTAAATGCATATGAAGGTATATACGGTACTTATAATAAAACACAATTTTTAAAAATTTTGTCTGTCTGTCTGTTTGTTCCGGCTAATCTCCGAAACGGCTGGACCGATTTTGATGGGACTTTCACTGGTAGATAGCTAATATTATAAGAAGTAACTTGGGCTACTTTTATTTTAGAAAAAGATTTAGGGTTCTGCGTAAAAACCTTAAAACCAAATTACACGCGGGCGAAGTCGCGGGGTAGAGCTAGTAATATATATATGTAGATATATATCGAGTCGTACAATCACAGATGTAGATATATATCTATATCTGTGATTACGCGACTTTACACTACTTTTTTTAACCAGTAGATATGTCACGGTTGTATTATTTGTAATAATAAACTTTTGTTGTTTTTTCATATATCACAATGCGCATGAGAACTTAAAAATATTTCAAAATTATATAAATACGTGAATATCGAAAGTAGCTATGGGCTATATAGCTCATGGAACTCATAACCGATCGGGAAGAAAGGTTCTCGAGTGGCGACCACGTACCGGTAAACTAAGTGTAGTTTGGCCCCCATTAGATACAGTGACAACCTGGCATGATGCTGGAAGTCGATGGATGCAGGTGGCTCAAGATCGCGCTTAGTAGCGCACCTTGGGAAACCTATGTTCAGCAGTGGACTTATGATGGGCTGTAAGGATGATGATGGTGATGATGAATATTAAGAATAAAAGAATAAATAAGTAGGTGAATAAAACTAATACCGATAGAAAATTACTGTGTCATAGATGTGTAGAACAAACCTTATAAGTATGTTAAAGCCGTAATTTTTTGAAGTTATACTTTTTTGAGGGCGTTTGGGAGTGAATTTTTACGATGTGCGCGCACACCGACACCTAAAACGACACCATGAAGTTGTTACGGTGCGCGTACACACTGACACCTCAAAGCGACAACTTCAGTGGGTAATTGCGTTAAATTGTCTCTCAAGTTTTCGTGGGAACTGATAAATATATTTAAGTAAGTTATTTTTAGTTATTTTTGTTTTGTTACTATAAAGAAGTATAACTTCCTACGTGTGTACATAAGTACACACACACGTTTTTTTTTTATAAATCTAAAGTGATAAACGAACACACAATCCACCTGTGGTTAAGTGGCGGTCCATGGATGTCTGCAGCCAACTTTAAAACAAAGAAGTCTACAGATGCGTTGTCACCTCTGAAGACTAAAATTGAATGTCCCAGTCCTCGTCGTAATTATACCAGCTCTATTCTTTAGACTGGAATACAGCAGTACCATAACTGCTATTTGACGGCAGAAATAAATTCTTTTTTAAACTCTTTTTTTTTTAAACGTAAATTATTTGTAAGCCATACAAATACTTGTTCCGTACGGGATTCGAGCCGTCAAGAATAGGTAAGAGGGTAGTGTCTACACATACATACTCCTTAGTAGAGAAGGATTACCACCACATATTAATTACATTTTGCCATCAATCCCTAACAGCCTGTAAAAGTTCACTGTGGAATATAGCCCCCCCCACCCCCCCAATAGATTGCATCATAAGTGGGACTTTACCACAGTTGCCACGGCAGTTGCAAGCGGGTTGGCAACCGCGGTTTTTTTATAATTTTGAGGTATTATCAGGAAGACGCTGCTGCCCATCTCCTAGTTTGTTTCCCTCTGTCGCCTCTTACAACACCCACGGGATGATATGGGGTAGTGGATATTCCTACACCGCCACTACACAGGACATTACATTTCACATTAATTACTAATTGCTAGATTTTTATAAAAACACGTCTGAGTTTTAATTGCAAAATCCTGAAAGTAAAACCATAACAAATGTAGGTACTACGTCTACTATACAAATATGATCTACGAGCACATTGTATAATTTTGTGTGTTGCCCCTCACGTAAAATAAAACGCTAAATAAAAATTTAGGTTGATTTAGAGGTTGGGAATAGGGTTGCCAACTATTTTCATTAAACCTATAACAATACAAAAACATAGATATTGAAAGATAACTTTCAATAGATGGCGTGACGCACGGTAGGTTTTTTAGCGATCCTTAGGGAGGCCAATGTTCAACAGTGGAACTGTGAAAGGCTATGAAGATAATAATGGCTATAATAATGATGTTTTTAAATTGTTTTCATTCATCATACATCATTGTTTCAAACAGATCTTTTATATTTTAAAGGAATATTTCTGCTCTGTCTGTCTTTATAAACGGCCTCAAGCCGTGTTAAAATATTGTAATTATGCCTGCTATACTATTTTTTCTAGAAATATGATGTTTGCACCCCTAATAAAATAGGATATATATATACTATATAGTTGGCAACCCTAGCAGTTTTTACGTAAGTTTTTTGACGCCCTGTTAACATGAGGTCAAAATATATATGTAGTATATACTAGCCTATGTAGTATGTGGTGCCGTGGTAGCTCAGATGGTTAGTGCTCGCTGTAAATTTCACAATACACGAACAACCCGAGTTCGATCCTCGCCGGCACCAATGAAAATTGTTAATGGCAATTTAAGTGCTGATTTACAACGTGCTCGGCGATGAAGGAAAACATCGTGAGGAAACCTGCATGTCTGAGAAATAAGAAAATAAATATATTTCGAAGACATGTGAAGTTCGCCAACACGCGTTGGGGCGGCGCGGCGGACACTGCCTTGCCCTAAAAACCTCATAGTTTGTAATTATACTGACTCTCTATACCCTTAAAAAACACAGTACAAAACAGCAGTACAAGTACTGCTAATTGACGGCAGTAATAGTTATTGTAATGCACGAAGTCGAGCGGGCTTTGTGGTAAATACGTATCTGTATACATGTCAGTGTGTGTGAGAAAAAACCGCACGCTCGCAACTGATCGCACCGTCAGACACGCTCACTATCGCAATGTGCATGTAAACGTTCCTAAAAAAAACCCTCTCAGAAATGAGAGGAGCTCTGTGCCCCATAGGACGTATATAGGCTGTAATTTTTATGTACTAGTCTTAGTTAATTGTCTTTTTATATACATTATGAATTATATTAAACTAATACATAGGCTGCACTAAAAGTATCGGGAATGGAATGTTTCCACTGTTCCTGTCATATTAAAATCTTTTTAATTGAAAAATCCTTGGTTTTAAAAATCGAATACCATTTATTTATTTAAAAAAGATTCTCGGTCTTGTCACAAGGTTTTGTCAAACTTGTTTAGTCGTTGAGAAAATGGAATTGACTCGAGAAAATTCAAGAGCGATGATTTGATATATATATCCTATCAATCTATTATTATAATAAAGTTAAAAAGCAAAGTAAGTTTTAACTAAAACGGAGTAGAATTTATTATTAAGTTATTTTGTATCGAATTTACTGTAATTAATCATTTTCGCTTCGCTAGAGCGAAATAATTACTTCATTAGTTACTAAAATACTGTTGTGAAACCACAACGGACCTTAGGTACGTCGTCATCCCTAAGGACTTGGTGGATATGCTTCACAGCCTGTGAATTAGCCAGTATTTACCCTACCCTACTATACTTTTACCCTACCAACCAAAACACGGCAGTTAACGATAAAATACGTAAGAGACCCCCATGGACCCTAAGGCAAAAAGGAGTCAATAAAAAGAAGTAGTTTTATTTTTTTACTTTTTTATCGGCCGTGTTTATGTAACAGGCACCTTTTTACAAACAACCAGACCTTAAATTCTTTATAAAAAAAAATATATCAGTGCATACGTGAATTAGATGTATTTGGATGTATTATTTTAATGCGTCAATGCATCTTTAATTGTAGACGTGAGCTCCGCAACATGAGTATTTACGACGGGAATTGGGATTTTCCTACACCGTTTAAACAGTAAATCGTTCGATTAGTCGAGCGACAGAAATACCGCTGAAACTGAAAGCGCGTCCACGCGTTGGCACGCCCGGAACACGTGAGGAGGGGATTGAACGGAGTCACATATCAGTCTATGAATGAATGATTGCAGCACGTTTTTGAACAATTTACTTTTTCACAATAAATTTAAAATAATTTTTAAAAAACAAACATGCGTGAGTGTGGTGAAGAACTCGGTTGGAACGAAGTTCCTTTCGTAGTATATTATTATTCATAAACGTATTATTATTTAACAATTACAAATAAATGAATTACTAGCGGCTATTAAAATGAAGCGTCATTTAAAATAATATTTCTTTCATGGCGAGATAAGGAAAAGTGCGAGGGAGATGGATCGACATCTCGCTCGCACTATAAAAAGGGGGTCGTGACGGAAAATCTTACACTTTTTCTCGCCTGGCCCCCATCCGTCAAATTCGTACCGTGCGATAAGGAACTTCGTTCCAAAATAGTAAATAAATTTATTATTATTATATAATAATTAAAAATTAAAAAATAAAAATTTTGTACAACCGACTTCAATGTAAATTATTTAGAATAACTCAAAAACTGTTGGTCAAAACTTGATCAAATTGTTATGGGACCACATAAGAAGCGCCAGTTTTCAAATAAAAAAAGAATCATCGAAATCGCTTCACCCAGAAAAAAGTTATGAGGTAACACACTAACTGAATACCGTCTCCTTATTGAAGTTGGTAGAAAAATAGCAACGCGACCAGATTTCCTTTAATGAATACTTTTGTAAAATTCGTTAACGAAAACCTCGGAAGATACGTTTACAAAAATATTTTGATAACGGATCGGTTACGGTAACCTCGCCGCAGTCGTATTATTTGCAACTTGTGAAGATCACGCTATTATAGATCATCAGTGTAAATATACAGCATAATAATTTCAAATGCTCACGCGAACACTACACATAGAATGAAACTATTTTTCTACCCTCACCTCACCTCAGTGCCCTGCGACCATAGGTGCTTTAAAGTACTCGAAACGTCGGGAATATGATCAAGCGCGATAAAATCCGTTGAAAATCCAGTTCTATTTAAAGCTGCTATATTTCAAAATATGATAGACGAGAATCGGAGACCACATCTGTGCCGAAGACGAGGCACTCTATCTTAGTTCTCTGAGTGACGCATCTGCATTATTATTCTTAATTAGGTGTCTATGGCCCACAATTTATCACCGTCTTATAATTAGGTGGTATAAGTAACTCCCATAACGTAGTGATTATAATATACTCTTTTCGGACTCGTATGAGAAAACCTACTGAAATTTGGTGTAAATTGTTACAGATTAAAAAAACCTATTTTCAAAGACCGTACAAATTTCTCTGATTCATTAGTAAAATTCTAAAACGTAGTGGTTATATTCTCTTTGGTAACATTCTTCATAAGTTTTACCATTTAGGATATAAAACAACAAACCTCCTTGAAAATCAATAACAAGTTTCTCCATTAAGTCTAATACTTAAAAAATATTTTCATTATAAAATTTTTGCGCTAAAAACCACACAAAATCTTGGACACAAAACAAATAAAAATAATTATCTATGCCTGTATTTAACAATGAATCTTTGCAATGAATCATGAGTAATATAAACCATATAAACAAAAGATTTCGATAAGCAATGAAACAGAATCACATTGTAGCTTTATCACACTTATTATTATATTTACAATGACAATGTGAGTGACATTGTATAGCTTTTTTGTTTCAAATTTATATTGCTACAAAAGTGGCCTGTAAATAATAAATTACTTGAAATACACAATAGACATAAATATGCCCGTAACCTTTGTTATAAAAGATTTTTCGGTTCAAGTCATTCGTTCGCTAAAATACAAAATATAATGAAAATATATATATTTTAATGAAAACTAGCTGGGTGATGTTTAGCTGCGGCAATGTATGCAGCGGGTTCGGTCATACGTGGTACTTGTATGTACAACTGGTTATTGGATGTTACCTACAATACATGAGAAGTGCAATTTGGGGTAACACTAATACAAAAATATCAACTTTACATCATCATCATACGAAGGCATCGACTTGTATCCATCGACTACCCGCATGTAGTTATTGTTGGGGTTGTCTGGTAAAATTGGTATACTATGCTAGCTGCTTAATATTGTATTTTTTTCCAACACATATATTTAGTATGTATAATTATTATTTCAAGTACAGATACTTCCTTTGGACGATCATGATTCCATAATGTGGCTAATATTTTTGTTTATTATCACAAATAAAACGCATTTTGTAACTCACCTTCCACCTTTCCATGTGCGGTGTCAGACATTTTCGTAGATTTCTAGATCCTGAAACAAGAAAATCAATGGTTATTACAATGTTTCCAGAGACGATGTGGCATTCCTATACAAATAAATAAAATTGAAGTGTCTGTTTGTAATGTCAAAATTACAGCTTTTTACTAAATACATATGAAACTATATACGGTACTAATAACAAAAATACAATTTTTAAAGTTTTTTGTCTGTCTGTCCGTCTGTCTGTCTGTTTGTTCCGGCTAATCTCCGAAACGGCTGGACCGATTTTGACGGGATTTTCACTGGCAGATAGCTGATATCACAAGTAGAAACTTAGGCTACTTTTATTTTAGAAAAAGAATTAGGGTTCCGCGCAAAAAAAAAAAAAAACTAGAACCCCAAATAACACGCGCGCGAAGTCGCGGGGAACAGATAGTTTATTATAAAATTCGTTAATATTAATATTAGTATATATATAATTTAAATTAGGAATATTTATTTATGTATTCAATTTATTATAGGTATTTAACTTTTGTTATTTTTTATTATTTTTGATTAATTAATAATTTGTCACTTATTAATACATTAAATAACATAATATTAAGAGTTTATTAGTATTGAAATAAATTTTAGTATTATGACTAAAAATTGTATATGTGTAAAAACCACAATATATTACACTAACGACATACAAATTTCAGTTTCTTCACCAAACACTCAAATTTGAGGGCTGTAACTCATTTCGTCTACAAGCTACAGATCATTGACATACGAACTGACAGACGGATAGACGGACAGACCTCGGGAACAAACGGACAAACAGTAAGACACACATAGCAGAGTGATATTTATAGGGCTCCACATCTTACATTTACACAATGAACATTGACATTAATTTTGAAGTTTTATTCGCAGGTTCAAAACAAAATAAATCCTACATAAAGTTTTATACAGCTGGCAACCTTACAACGGAATCCGCAAAGTGTTCCGAGGACGCCGAGTTTTATGCATCGAATTAAATATGCAAATTAAGAAGTATATTTTGTACACAAACAACCAATTATTTCATTATTCGTTAAAATATTTGTGTGTTTTACAGAAAATTATTATTTATTTGTTAAAATACATTTTTCTACGTTTTACTACTGCTTAAATTATATTTTGTATTACATAATTATCTTTTTATTTGCAAACTTATTCTCGTTTGGCGATATTATCACCAGAAAATAGATACCTATATTAAAAAAAAAACAATTAGTATAGATGTTATTCACTAAGCCATGTAGTGGGCGCGTATGAGGATCCCCTATCCCATAATATAATTTCGGTGAGTGTCGTAATTTTGGTGACGCTTGCCAAGAGTAGCGACTGTGGAACATGTACCCCCTATAAGCCAATTTAAAAATAATAAGAGTGACAAACGAGCACACAGTCCACCTGGTGGTAAGTAGACATCTACATTTATCCTCGATTAAGAATCAAAATGCAGATGCGCTAAGATAGAATGCCTCGTTTCTAGTAAAAAGGGGTGTCCGGTTCGCTACACTCACCACACAAAACACGGCAGTATTAAGCTGATATTTTACGCTGATACTCTGTGAGAGATTGGTCCTACCCCGTTCGAGCTGACCCATTCGTGCTACAAGCATAATATAGCTGCAGCGGGGCTCTAGCACGTATAAAATTCTTTCTCTTCTTTTTTTTTTAAACGTTACTCCCACACTAGGATTTTCTCCTATGTCGTGGATGCAGTTTACTAACATAAATTGCACGAGGACAAACATCCAGATCCGGAACAATTATTTGTAGGCCATACAAATACTTGTTTCGAGCGGGATTCGAACCCGCGGCCCCCAGCGCAACAACTTATTGCTAAGCCACTGCGTCACGGAGCCGGACGAAATCTAGAGAGAAGGGCTATGTTCAGCAGTGGACTGTTTATAGGCAGTAAAGTACAAACTGATAGTGGATTGAGATCAGTAACAAAAGATTTGTCAAGGTGATTGTAGACACTGCAGTTGTGTTATGTGTGCTGATAACCCTTTTCCTCAGCTCCCAGGACACATATCTGATTTTTTTTTCTAAATTATAGACAGATACAGCTGTATGTATATGGGTCATAGAATCAATTTACTTTCAGGTATAATGTGTGTGACTTGTGACTTCAACAAAAACATGGTGGAGCTTCATTTCTAACTACGAGTACGTCTGAGTTGGTATATAAGTAAGTAAGAGTAAACATATATTTTTACCGGCAAACAGCAGTGCGCCCTCTACTGACGCGCATATGCGGCAATAAATATTTGATTTGATTTGCACTTAGCACCAGATCGACTGTCGGCACCATTGTCTAGGACTATACGATAAGCAAACGCTTAATGTATTTATTGAGGGAAGAATGGATTAATTGTAAATTTTACCACTTTCGGCATAATACCGCACCTAGTATGTAGTACTTATTGGAACGCTAAGCGAGAATAAGTTTAAGATTTTACTGTCACGAACCCTGACGTGACGGCCTTGGCGGCTACAAGGAAGCGAGATGGAATAATATCCATTTCCCTCGCACTTTTTCTTATCTTTATTTTAAATGACGCTTCACTTTAATAGACTCTAGTAATTCATTTACTTGTATTTGTTAATCAATAATATATTACGTTTATCAATAATAATATACTACGAAAGGAACTTCGTTCCAACCGTGTGTTTCACGACACACGCATGTTTTATTATATATTCGATTTATGTCCATTAAAAATAAGGTGAAAAAAAAAGATAAGCCTTGGAATGAGAGATAATAAGCTATAAACTTGTATAGTATTTGTTTTAGAATTCTATAAGTTATCTCAAAAGTCTCAGAGAATCTCGTGTAAACCATTAAAGATATTCAAGGTTGAACGTCGCAAAAATACGTATTTTATAAATATATTTTTTTAGTTATCAGAAGGATTGTGAAGCATATATTTTTTTAATTTGATCTTAGGTTAATGTTTACAACTAACCGTTCTAATGAGATGAGATGGAGCGGGAACATGGAAAACGCTTATATTATGGAACCTTATTTATTTAATTTATATTATTATGCCCAAAAATCACAATATATACGCAATTTATCGAACTCCACACTTTTCTGTTTACATATATTTATATCATATTTCGATAAGGCAAGCTATTTACCTACCAAAATAAAAATACCATTTCATGTACATTTGACCTAGAATATCTTGACTCGCGTTCAATGTCATTTGACGTAAAGAAACAGGATATTTCCAGGAAAAAAAAAGATTTCAGGAACCTATGACCTTGAATATCTTGACTCGAGTTGACTTTACACTTTTGAGGTAACGTTTAGAATCCTTAAACAAAGTCATACAAGTCAAATATAATACAAAGTTTATAGCTTAGTATCTCGCAACCGGAGGTTGAATCTCTTCACCTTTTTGACCGGACTGAGATAAGATACGAGGTAAAGTATTTAAATCAAGTACGTACCTACATACGGAAATACGCCGAACGAGGTAAAATTGCCAAATTTTCCTTCTTCCACTATCCTCTCAAGTTTGTACCTTATTATCTCTCATACCGAGGCTAAATACTTTGATATTAAATACCTATTCGTCTGGATTATTTCTACAATACAGGCTTATTAACAACATTTGCTTTTATAACAAGATATATATTAAATCATTTTGTATTATATTTCTTTGACCAATGCTATATTATGTATATATTTTCCTTGACATTTTGAGAAGAATTATGTTATTAGTATTGAATATGAAGTAAGGTTAAATAAGAAAGGTTGACACCAGAACTCTTTTAAATTAATTTTTAGCAAATATGTGCCAAACACAATGAACCACAAACACGCGCTAATTTAAATAACAATGTGATTTAAAATGAACAACACTCTACTTAAGAAATAATATATTTTATGTCAGTTACTCATTATTTTGAAGACTATGTTATTCTTGTTTCCTACTTAACTGAGCTCAGTTATTTTGTGTTCATTATCACTTCTAAAATGAGGTAATGATACCTACCTTTTAGTCAATCTCTATCATGTTATGTCTACTAGTTCGCAGCTCAAAGGTTATAAGTTCGAAGTATAAAGATTATAAGTTTTTATACATGGTAGAGCCACGCTACAGCTATATTAGTAGTATAGTTGTAGCACAAATGGGTCGGCTCGACCGGGAAAGGACCACGTTCACATAAAATACCAGCGTTAAATAGCAGCTTAACACTGCTGTATTTCGTATGATGGGTGTAGAGAACCGGAGACCCTTTTTACTGAAAATGAGGCATTCCATCTTAGTCCTCACGGGTGACAACGCATCTGCATTTTGATTTGTAATAGAGGATAGATGTAGATGTCTATGGGCTGCAGCAACCACTTACCATCAGGAGGTCTGTGTGCTCGCTTGTCACCCTTATCTTATAAAAAAATACTATTTTATTTTTATACTCTTATATTAGTTGTTATTAGGAATTAACTGCCAATCTCCTGATTTGTTACCCTCTATCGCTGTTTAGGACACCCACGGGACGTTATGGGGTAGAGGATATTCTTACATTACCGTAACACCGGTAAACGTTACATGTACTTAAATATAAAAACATGTTGTATTTATTTCAATTTATTTTTTTAAAAGTCGATTGCTGTTAAATATTACCTACCGCTATTTGCTTTTTAATAATTATTTTATTTTTATGTTATATATATTTTATCTTAATAACTAAAGGTAATTTAAAACGCATTATTCTGTATTAAAATAATAATTATTTAGACCGGTCCATTTAATGATTGGATTATTTAAAGAAAAAATATAAAGTGTTTTCAATGGAAATTAATAAGAACCACTTTGAATGTCTACATTCATTAACTATAACATTCAAATATAGTGTCATATAAATTAAAAAGGAGTAATATACAATGGGATTCATAACCCCCTCTTTTTATCGGCTAAAAATAATCAACTGCGTATTTGAATAATACATTATCAATTACGAGTATCATTTAATAGGATTATGAATTATGATAACGATAATGA